GGTCTGACACGTAGGGGTGTCTGCCTCACCAGCCCCTAGGTCTGACAAGCCCGATACACAGGACAATAGGCCAGGCATCCAGGCCCACAAGAGGTTATCTGTCCGCCAAGAGACTTTGTTCCCATGCCACAGACAGTACAGGGGGCTGTCCCGGTTGCTCCCTGGGAGGGATAGTGTTATCAGCCCTGTTCCCACACTGTGAGGTCTTCTCAGATCCAGCCTAGCCCTATCAGGGCTTCCAGCTGCTGCTTCTGATATGGTAGGAGGTTGAGGTCTGGAAAACACAGAGGACCAGGCTCTGGGTCCCCTCAGAGCAGGCTGATGCGGGGACGTGAGACTGGGTCCCAGCCTGGTGGGTCACTCGATAGTTGTGTGGGTTATCGGGGCTATGCTTCAAAGAGCCTAGGTGACATTCACAAGTGACATTGGAAGGCTTAGGGTGGCCCAGGTCTGTTGTACCACCCTCCCTTGACCAGGGCTCTTGCTTTTCAACCACTGGTTTGTTGCAACCCTCCTCCCTTCCCTCTTTCTGTCTATAAAGTGGAAGGGTCTACAGTTCAGTCTTGCACGTGTCCACAAATGACTTGACCAGGCTGGAAGTTCACCCAGAAAGGACTGGAAAATCCATGGCAGAAGCTCGGTAGCAGGCTCTTTGCAGCAGATCACTGCAGCGTTTAAGCTGGGAGGAGCCCTCTTCCCAGACACAGCAGCCTTCTTGATGACAGGCTGACTTGGCGCAGTATTCACTGGGCCGTGCCTTCAGAAAAATGGAGGTTGGGGAGAGAGGGGTGTGTGTGTGTGTGAATGTGTGTGTGCGTGTGTGAGTGTGTCTGTGAGTGTATGTGTGTGCGCGCATGCATGCGTGTGAGTGTGTATGCTCATGTGTGTGCGTGTGTGAGTGTGTGTATGCGTGCATGAGTGTATGAGTGTGTGTGTGCATGTGTGCGTGCGTGTGAGTGTGTGTGCATGCGTGAGTGTGTGTGCGTGCATACTCATGTGTGTGTGTGTGCGTGAGTGTGTGTGTGTGTGGTGGGCACAGACTTGGGGAACTCTGTTTCATGTCAGCTCTGCATGCCGTTCGCTGCCCTTGGCCAAGCGCCCCACTTCCACAGCATCAAACTTAGAATCGCCTGCGTGTGCCCTTTCCTTTTTTTCCACAGTAGCTATTGCCAACGAGCTGCAAACTACCGTATATCACTCCAGTTTAAGAACCTAAACTTTAAAACAAATTAAACTCTTGTTGACATTGTAATAAAAATCAGAATGAAGCTGAATGGCTCAGTAAAAGTGAACTTCAATTATTTTTGTGGATTTCTGATTGTTTCCTGGGTTTCCTAGACTCCAGTGTGGGGAAGTTATTTCCTCTTGGCAGATGGCTGGAGAGGGGGGAAAAAAAAGGTGAAGGAATGGGGCTGGGTGAGGTGGCAGGCGCTGGTGAGGTCTGGGGAGAAAGCCAGTCTCAGGCACCTGGATATTTGCTCTGGCCTGATCCACAGTGTCTGGAGTCAGGGGTGCGGGGACAGGGTGGGGGTGGCAGGAAGACTAGGAGGGAGCAGTGACACGCGAGTCTTTGGTGTTTTTACTGAAGAAAGGAGATCAAATGTCTGTCCAATCCTGTATGCTAACTAAGTGGTCATGCTGGATTAACAGAAGCTAAAGGCAGACTGCTGCCCTTCCTGTCCAAACCCTGATGAATGGGTACAATAGCCTCTCGTGTCTCTCTCTGTCTCTCTGTGTGTCTGTCTCTCTCTATCTTTGTCTCTCTGACTCTGTCTCTCTCTGTGTGTCTCTGTTTCTCTCTGTGTTTCTGTGTCTCTGTCTCTGTGTATCTCTGTCTCTCTCTGTCTTTGTGTGTCTGTCTCTCTTCCTCTCTGTCTCTCCCTTTATCTTTCTCTGTGTGTCTCTGTCTCTGTGTCTTTCTCTGTCTCTGTCTCTCTGTGTGTCTCTGTGTGTCTTTCTCTGTCTCTCCCTTTATCTCTCTCTGTGTGTCTCTGTCTCTGTGTCTTTCTCTGTCTCTGTGTTCTCTGTGTGTCTGTCTCTGTCTCTCTGTGTGTCTCTGTCTCTGTGTGTGTCTGTCTCTGTCTCTTCCTCTCTGTCTCCCTCTCTTTGTTTCTCTTCCTTTCTTCCCTGTCTTCCCTTGTCTCTCCTTATATCTCTGTTGTCTTTCTGTTGCTGTCTCTTTTGTCTCTAGTTCCTTGTCTCTAAGCCTCACCTTTTCTTTCCCTGCCTCATTTCCTATGTCTGCCGCTTTCTTCCTCTCTCACTTAGACCATTTCTTTCGTCAGCATATTAACTGTGGTGTTCGAATTTTTTTTCTTTTTGAAAAAAAGTTTCTCTGGCTGAATGGAAATAGCTCTCCTCAGGACTGAGGGCCAGTTTTCCATCCTTCACGCTGTTTCCTGTTGTGGCCATCCAGAAGTAAAACACTACACCACAGCATGTAGATGCAGGGCAGGTGATTCGTTGATTTGAAGAATATCCTTTGGGAGGTGTGACTGGGGGGAGGGGGCTCTTACCTGAGTTCCAAGCCAGGCCTCTCCATGAGACCCTTGTGGTCCCCTCCCCAGCAAGCCACTTCCTGTCCCCTCCTTCTGCTTCCTGTTTCTCTGCTTTCAAGGCCAAGCTGGAAACAGGTTCATGACCTTCGGTTCCTAATGTGCCCGTGTTCATGAGGCACCTTTCGGGTCAGCTCTGCTCACTGCTGCCTTTGTGGGCCCGGGTTGCCACCTCTCCCAAATCTAGGAGTTGGGTGGGCAAACTGAGACCTGACCAGTCAGATGAGGAGCTAGCCCTGGGTCTCAGGTGGGCTCCCAGCCCAGTGATTGCCCTGTGTGCCTATCTGGAAGCTGGGAGAAGGCTCTGGCCTTGCCCATGCTCTGCTCCCTGTAGGATCTGTGCAGACATGGGTTTCTCTTTAAGCAGCTGGTGGACAGAGCTTGATCCGCTCAGAGATTTCTAACAGAGAATCCAGCGGTGCTCCTGAAAATGAGCAAATCTTGACTTGGCAAAGTCTGCTGCTTGTGAAAATGTGGGAAGGGAACCTGAGCAGGGAGGCCCCCATAATGTGCCTCACAGGCCCTGACTCCTGTCCTGGAGTCTGTCTGTGTCCTTTACCTTGGGGTTCACCCCTGTCTCCCCTGTCTCCCTTGCCTCTCCACTAGGGTCTCCGCCCCCTCCCCTATATCTTCACCCTGGGTCCTTGTCTTCTCATTAGCCTCTCAGTCAGGGAAGCCAGAGCACACACAGTGAGTGGCGTGTGGAAGCGCCTATGTTCCACAGGGTGAAGGATTCTCAAAGCCTCTCAGGATGCCTCTGGGCCTCACACTGAGTCCTGGCATCCCAGGAACTAACCATTCACCATCTGCGTGTTGCTCTTTACTCTGCAGATGCGCTTGAGGTTCCTCGGATATCAAATTTAAGGGAGCAGAGGAGGAATTAATGCTAAACTTACAGAACTCTGTCAGTAGCCCTTCAGGAGGAATTCCACCAGTGCGGACCTTACGTAGCTCCCAGAGTGGCAATTGCACAGCGGTGCAGCTCAGAGGGACTGTGAAGCCTTTCTCCATCCCTGATTCCCAGCGTCAGGGAAGCAAGCAAGCAGTATGATCTGCTGCAACCCTGACGTTACTTCATCCCAGCGCCGTTGCCTGCATTGCACCACAGAGTGTCCCACAAACAGGTGCAGTTTATTACAAACCAATCACAAAATCAAAATCCAGTCTTGGGAGCTAGATCAGTCCTTTGAGCACTTACCAGGAGGATCCGAGTTCATTCCCCAGTGCCCACGTCGCAGAGGCTCACAGAGATCCTGTAATTCCAGCACTAGGAAGACAGACAGGCAGATACTAGGAGTTCGCTGACCAGCCAGCCTAGTTTGCTTGGCAAGTTCCCAGCCAATACGAGACCCTGTCTCAAAATAAGTTGGTGGCATTCAGGAATGATCACTGAGATTGTCCTCTGGCCTCCAGATGTGTGTGTGTTCACATGTTCGTGTGTGTGTGTACATACATAATATTCCCAAGCCTCTTTGCCATCACCGTTGTAGGTCTGTGGAGCTATCAGATCTCTGACCCCTCAGGAAGCTGGCTGGATGTGATAAGGAGAAGTTCAGCACCCAAAGTCTGATCAGTGGGTGACAGGAAGGATTGTGCTCACTGTCCCCATGAGTCAGGATTAGATCCGGGCTCCTGCTTTGGACGTGAAGGAGCTGAGATTGCAACAAAACTACCACGCTGGATGAGCAGGCGGCTCCCCAGCTGTTCCCACCCCAGCTCTCTGCTGGCATGGGGGCGAGGGCTTGTGATGAGGGCGGAGCTCTGAGGACTAGCTCTCTTCCAGCCAGCTGCTAAGGAGTTAGACACTCCCACCCGGGTCCCTGAAACCCTTGTTGGGGCTGGAGGCCTTCCTAGAGACCATGGTCTTTGGGAGCCAGGGTCCTGCAGTGAGGCCTGGTGTTGGGTCTCATGCTAGTGGCGTGTGTTAGCACACAAAGTCCATTAGAGCAGGTGCACACCAGTCCTGTTGATTTGATTTAGGTCTGAGGAAAGCTCCAGTAATGTGCAATTACAAAGAACTTAATGGCCCTTTATACTGAACACAACTTCCATGGCACCTAATATACTTTGATGAATTGCTCATTATGTGTAGTGTCGGAATAGCCTCCATAAAGATTAATAATTGGATAATCAATACAAAAATTCAATCTTGGGATCTTTTTTTTTTCACTCCAGGGTCAATATGTGTTCAAGATCGCAGGGCCTCATTGGCCTGCATGCTTCTGACTCTCTCTTTCCACTCCTCGATTTCTACGCTAGGGATCTGTTTTCTGTCTAGATCCCAGAATAGTGAAACAGGGTCTGTGACTGGTGACTTTGTCGGCGGTGGATAGCAGGGCAGGCTTGCCTTCAAAGTGGCTTCGTTCAGGTGAGGAGGGATCCCTGAGGTGTCTGTCCTATCACAGGAGAATACAGGGGTGAATTAAGAAGTCTTTTGTAGATGGTCAGAAAGATGGAGTGTGGACATGCACGTCCTGGGTAGAAGATTACCAGTGGAAACTCTACAGGGAGAGAAGTGTCCTGCACTCAGGAGGTAGAGGGTAAGCCTTCAGAGTAGGCCAGTGTGCCTGACTGTGGCCCAGGAGAGAACAACTTTGGTAGAAGTTGATGTAAGAGAAATCCCCTGGCAAAGCATTGTATCCTAACTGATCTCAGGGAGAGGAGCTGGCTTGGTGACACCCCCTAGAGCCTGCCAGGGGTTCAGCAAGACCCACTGAGTCAGGGTGAAGGAGAGTCACAGGCGAAGGCAGTGAGAGTCGCCACACCAGAGAAGAGGAGCCATCTTCCAATACACCCAGTGGTGGGAAAGAAAGACAGGGAGCCTGGAGCTCACAGGCCTGTTGGTATGGCAAGTTCTCTCTGGCAGGAACGTCTGCATCTGGAGGCTGACCAGCCACAGCTTAGCATTAAGTGGATGTAGACATCACTGGCTGAGAGATCAAAGGCTGATGCCAGTCACAATGAGTGTGAGAACAAGAAGGCAAAGCCAGGGTACCACCACAGCCATCTGGACCTGGCTGAGATCGAACCTAAGGCCCTGGGAGGCAAGATAAATGGCAAGATGCTGGACTCACAAGCTGGAGGTAGTGGTGCACAACCTTAATCCCAGTAGTTGGAAGGTAGAGGCAGACAGGTCTCTGTAAGTTCAAGGCTAGCCTGGTCTACATAGCTGGTTCCAGTCTATTCTGTGCTACATAGTAAGAATAATGAGACTCTATCTCCAGTTTCTTTATAAAAACAAATAGACAGTTTAGTGGTGCATGCCTATATCCTGGCACCTCAAGGAATAGGATAATGCTCTCCATCCCTGTGAAAGGGGAATCGGATGGCCACCAAATGCAACCCCATACCAGTGTCCTATGAACTCAGGGCCCCTACTGTGGACGTGCTGAGCTGAACCCACCTAGCTGTTGTGCCTCTTGGCTGTATGGCTTCCTAGGGCCTTTGCCTAAGAGACATGAGTTACAGTTGTCATAGTCAAAAAGAGTCCTGTAAAAGCCATATTTCTCACCCCCGGGGAGATCTACATGAGTGTCATTTGAATTTCCTTTCCAGTATCTGAGAAAGGTCTGGGCAAGCCATGCCGACTCCCACAGAGTCAGAGCAATCAGGCCCAGCTGCTGGCCTCAGGTGACCCATGCTGAGCAGGTGAGCTCAAGTTGCTGCCTCAGGTGGTCCCAGGGTTTGGGACCACTCTAGTCGGTATGTGTGCCAGGCTCTAAAACTGTGGCACAGGAGGGTTGCAACCTCCTGCTTAGCTCGGCCTATGTAATGGGACTCAGACCCCTGGGGAAGCAAGCAGCCTCAACCCCTCTCTCTGCATCTCCACTCACGGTGTCCCTTCTTCCCTAATACTTTCTGCTGCCACATCCCCAAGAATCAGTAAGAATCCCAAAACCTTAGCCAAAATATCACCGTTAGCATTATGATTTCAGTTTTAAGAGACAAATTCATGGGGCTGGAAAGACGGTTCAGTGGTCAAGAGTGCCAGCTGCTCATCTAGATTCCCAACACCTCCATGGCTACTCACAACTGTGTATGATGCCAGTCCCAGGGAATCTGACTTCTGTAGGTCCAGCATGCATGTCGAACAGAGATACACATGCAGGCAAAACACTCATACACACAGAATAAGAATAAAGACGAGATATAACAAATTCATAATGACTTCCTGGGATTTGGGCAATATTTGGATTCTTTTGAAGAAGAGGAAAACGTGTTTTCCCTGGAGAATGCACACTGGGTCTGCATGGAGCAGCTGTAGGGTGTTTAGGGTTCTGCTGGGACAGAAGGACAGATACGGCCTCAGCTCTCCTCATCTCCTCTGTGAACACTGCTGTGACATAGATCAGCCATAACCCACGGGCGTTCTGAGTGTCCCCATGCTCACAGGACGTGTGCAAAGGAACCTAGTCCCCAGCCCCAGGCTCTGCTCACTGTGACCAGCGGGGCTGCAGGAGGAGTAGGGAACCTGTGCTCAAGGTGGTGCCAGCTCTGAGAAGGTTGTGGGCATCGTGCTCCTATGGCCTGCCCTGCATGTGGGACAAAGATCAGTCACATCAAGAGATAGATTGAGAGGTAGGTGTGTGCTGCTTTAGGGCCCGGCCAATCACTGAATCCTCCTCTCTGGGTTTTGTGTGTGTGTGTGTGTGTGTGTGTGTGTGTGTGCGCGCGCGCGTGCGCATGCATGCCTGTGTGTATGTGTGGTGTTGAAGTCAGCCATGGGTGTCATTTCTCAGGAGCCAGCACTTTATTTTTGAGACAGAGTCTCTCCCTGGCCCAGAGCTTTCTAAGTAGGCCAATGGCTGGCCGATGAACCCAGGCATCCTGTCTCTGACTCCACTTCCTCAGCTCTGGGGTAACAAGCACACACCCCAGCGCATGGCTTTTTATGTGGGTGGGTTCTAGGGACTTGAACTCAAGTCCTCGTGCTTGCGTGACAAGCCCACTATGGAGACCTTCCTAGAGCTCCAGGGCCTTCTGGGAGAGGTGCTCATACCCTTGCCAGCAAGCATATGACAAACCAGGCAGATGCCCTCACCTCACACCCACTTTATCTGCCCTGCCCCCAAACACCAAGGCTGCTGGGTTGTTCAGACATCAGATCCTGACCTCTCTCCCTCTCTGTACCTTTTTATAAGTGGCTGCTTCTGTACACAAAATGCAGTAGTCACACCTGGCAGACTTACTGACTACCTCAGGGAATGTGAGGCTCCAGGTTAAGGTCAAATGAAGCAGGTCCCACCTCCCCTAAGCAGAGGGAGGAGGCAGCTCGGAGCTGTCCGGTTTGCTGAATGAGCAGCACCTGGTGCCTCACACCACCTGCTGCTGGGAACACTCAGCTGGGGTCTCGCCAGGCTCCAGGTGGAAACCAGGCTACTGGCGTGTGGCTTCTGCATCTTGGTGTGGTCCCTTGACTTTCCACATGTCAAACAGCAACACATGAATCCCACTGTTTCTTTCTTTGTGTTATGAGGGAAGGAGGGCCTAACGTGGCCTTTGTACCCAAGACCCTGCTCCCACGTCAAACGGGCCAGAACAATACAAGAAAGACAAAGAGGGACCTCATGCTGGTCGCTCTCCTTCGGGTCCACTGGTTTTATTTTCACTTAAACTTTTTGTTTTCTTTTTTTCCAATTCCATAAATTCTGTTGAATGGCAATTTCATAATTTGGGGAGATATCTTTTATATTTCTAACAACACAAGGAAAGCCCTGGGAGGGGAAAACCTACTTGTTGGTGGTTTAATGATCCTGGTGAGTAATTGCTGAATGGAGCTTGGCACAGATCAAACAGCAGAGCATATGATATGGAAACATTCTCCAGCCTGCATCAACTGGACGGCCAGGCCTGTGGAATCTCCCGCCACGTGGTCAGCCCTGCTGGAGTTTCCACATGGCTGTCTGCGTGCTCGGGAGTTTTCAGGCTAAATAGGGAAGCAGGCTACCTACGGTAGGAAAATCATTCCGTCTTCACTGCTGACAGTCCTGCGTAGCGGCAGCGCCCGGCAGCGTGAGCCCCGCTCCAGGTGGAGAGTCATGTTTTATTAAAACCGTGACTTGTTGCCACTCAGTCCTTCCACTGTCCCGCTCTCTCCTTCTAGAAATAGCAAGCCCCGTGGCGGTGGCTTATTATGATTAAAAGATAAAAATAAGCGAAGGCTGAGATAGACGCAGGACCCGGAGGTAGGACGGCTGCTTACTTTTTAATGAAAGTTGAGGAGCTGTGCTATTTTCATTGCTTCTGGAAGCATCTTCGAGAAAACCAGAAGCGTGGACTGTGCTTACACACGCTGAGGGTGCGCATATTCCAAGTTGAAGTGGTCATGGCACACGTACTGGAAACCAGGGTCCTCTTCCCCGGGCCGGCAGGGCTGGCTGCTGGCCGTGGGTAGTTGCGGGCATACAGACTACTGGGCACAGGATAATGGCAGACCAGAGGGCGAGCTTGTGAAGGAGAGCTCCGTGTCTAGGTCAGTGATCCTCCGCCTTCCCAATGCTGTGGCCCTTTAACACTGTTCCTCATGTTGTGTTAACCAACACAACATGACAATCATGTTCTTGACCAACCAGAAAATCATGTTCTTGCTACTTCATACCTGTATTTCTCCTACTCGTATGAATAGTAATGTTGATATATGGTCTGCAATCCAAAGGGGTCGAGACTCACAGATTGAGAACCACTGCTGTGGGAGGCTGTGCCTTCTCAAGAAATCTAAACGTTCTAGGGGTACAGGCCCGAGCCAACCCTGGATGGCACCAGGACACTGATGGTGGGATAAAAACATCTCGTTCTCCCTCTTCCTATGCTCGAACCTCTAATGCATGTGACATTTTTGTTCTTAGCTCCTTTCTGGTGCAGTGCTTCATGTAAAAAACCCAGTCTGTATGTGCAACCCTCAGAAACATCAAGAACCATGCCTCTTGCCACTCACTGAGAACCCAGAGTGGCGAAGACGTGTATCTTAGCCCTGGAAATGAAAGTTGCGGCAGCGGAAATGTGTGTGTACTGAGTTTCAACCACCATTATGACACGCTGCTCTTGTTCCGAGAATCATTATATCGTAAAAGTTCAAAGTGGCAAATGCAAGGTACTTCTTAGAAGTTAGTTATTTAAGAATGGCATTGGGCTTTAGGTATTTCTGGTTCTGCTTACCTAAATCACTATCCTCTTAGATTCCAAACCTAACTTTAGCTAAAGGTTTTAGCTAAAGGTGCATTTTCTGGGAAGGTTAACGAATACTTTTTTGTAATTATCTTTTAGTCATAGGAATGGGAGAGAATGCCCTTCCTGTTTGGTTTCACTCCCCAAAAGGTTATTTTGGCTTCCCTTAAAAATAAAAATATTCTCAATGGCTTGAAGTCTGGGAAAACATGCATTCGTCTGTCTCTCAGGAAAATGGAGGCAGCAAGTAGCCCCTGCTTCTGTGTCACGGACTCGTTGATGTCGTGTGCCAATCCACGTGGGAGGGTCCACGAGACCCCCACGTGGTCCAGCGTGGGGTTCTGTAAGGATTGTTCAGGCTTTGCTTCCCGTCCTGGTTCTGTGGAGAAGATGGAGAGAGCTCTGAGAAAAGTGCTGACTCCAGAGAAGAAGGGTTCCTTTGTGCCTGTAGGCTGCCCTTGCTGAGGGTCCCCGGTTTGTATCACGGGTTCCTGGGGCTAGGGGCACAGCTGCTTTCCTTGTTGGAGCCGGTGGCACTGGTGAGGAGGCAGGGTGCTTGTGGCACAGTATCTGTGTTAAGCAGAGAAGGTTCTACACGCCTGGGCAGTGATATTTTGTCTGCTTTTTGGAAGTATGGCCTTTCTCTATGTTTAGTAAACGTCTTGAATGTGAAAGTGATGCTGAAATTGATGAACCAGAATTCTAAACTTTTAAATCTGAATCTAGTGTCTAAGAACGAGAATCAGGCATCTGAATATCATCAAAAACATTTTTACCTGTCCCTCCCGGTTCCTCATTCCCCAGGCTGAGGGCGGCCCCCTCCCCAGCATAGTAGCATTCAACTGGTCTCTTAACTTGTTTGGGTCACTGCTCAACCTCAGATAGTTCCACTCAGAAAGAGGGACAGACGGACCACGTGGGTCTGTGGGTGGCCGTGTAGAGGGGACTCGGCCATATCAAACCACCGTTTTTCCCGTTTTGCCGGATGTCATGGCTACATCTGCCAGGAGGCTTATACAGCTGACCTTAGCACTGACCTGTAAGCCCAGTACAGATGTTTGTTCTGATAACCAAGATACACATGCATACTTCAGGGCACCTGGAGGGTGATGCTCCCAAGGCCGAGGCAAGGCTGCAGAGCTACTCCTGGGTAGCCATTTTGAGCCCTGTGCACGGGCTTGGCTGCGCAGTGCGGTTCGTCTCTGCTTTGCATTCTGTTCAGACCTTGTGATTTCCGATCTACTGCCGGGGCTTTTCCTCCTCTTTCTGACTGTCAGTGACTAGAAACTTCACCAGCGAACAGTAGCAGCCTTGTGACTGTCAGACCCAGAGATGTGGATGAGGGCCGTGCAGGCGCCATTGCTTTGCCCTGCGGTAACTTGGAAAAGGCTTCTGTTCCCTGAGGTAGTCACAGCCAGTCTTCCCACAGCCGTCTGGGTGCTCCCGAGTGACAGTACCACACCCATGGACTGCTTCCCACCTGTCCCTGCCTTCCCTCACCACCTGAGCCCCAGCCAGCCTGACCTCTAGGTCAAAGTAAGACTTGTGGTAGCATGAGTCTCCTGAGAGTCACACAAGATGAGGCCCGTGAGCTGTTTATCCCATATGTGGTGGGCACTCGGTGGATGTTCGATGGTTATAGGAGAGCCACACGAGGGGCTCCTGGGCTGTTCATGGTGGGCACTCGATGAATGTTCATTGAGTTAGTAGGGAGGCCAGGCACGGTACTCATAGTGGAACCAGGCTGCCATCACTCCTGATTTGACAGTCCTGCTCAGGGGCCATTTGCTTTCTCGTTAGCTGATGGAAGGACATAAAATGCGGGAGATCCTGGGGCCTGCTGACACCCTCCCTACCACACGTTTCTCACCATAGCTTTCCCAGGCCCAGGGTGAGTTCTCCGAAGAAGAGTCTTGGATCCTCCACACAGAAGGCTACTCACAAGTTTGAGTGATGCTACCCCTGCCCCCAGCCTGCAGACGCTCCCAGGAAATATGTGATAGGCTGGTGCTTACTGCAAACAACGCCAGGGGATTTTCTCACATGGTACACGATGGGTTTCAAACATTGCTCCCTTCCCGGGGTTCCTTTGGGCCGCCCTTCCCATGACGAGGCATCCTGCAATGAGGTGACAAGCTAGACTTCGGAGCCTGGATTTTCCTCTTAGGACAGTCGCTTTCTGCTGCAGCTTTGCCCCCCAGCAGAGCCCCATCACAGACACACAGACACAGGCCCTGTCAATTTGCCTAGGGCAGTGGTTAAGGCGTCGAGGTGGACTGGGTTGAACTCTCTGAGGGCAGGGTTGGAAGATGTCAGATTTTAAAATGAGGCCAGACGCAAAGAAATGGTGCCCATGTCAATTTGGAGCCTTCTTTTAAAGCTTGCCTCGTCTCCTCCCCCACTGCTCCCAGTCAAGAGCAGCCCACCCAAATGAAACCCATCACCCAAAGGTAATGCGAATGTAGTTTCTGA